GACCCTAAACCATTTTAATGTTGTTTCTCAGATATTTGACAGTCTCTGGTGGGGCAACTCGTCAAAACAAAATCCTGGGGGTAAAATTTGTGACGCGAGACGTGGTCTGGCGTACATCTACCTAGTAGTATATAAGCCTATGCCATTTTTTTAAAATTCCTGCCAATTAATTGATGTTAGCTTTTAAACTGGTAAAAAAGTTTGGAATTTCATAACAAAGTGAACATTAATTTCAATAAATTTGTCATGAAATTTAACGGTAATTTTACTACACGCCATTGTAATTTTATTGCACGCCCATTTTCAGTGCATGTTATGACATTTTCAGAACAATGTTATTAAATTTTCATCACATGATTTTTACACAGTTAGGAAACTCCCTCCGGCCAACAGCGATGGCATAAGACCACGTTGCAGCTTAGCCACTCTCAGGTAGTCCTCGAGGCCGAGTGGTGACATGTGTTATGTAATTTCTTTACTCAATTGAATTGTAAAGAAAATTGAATAACATTGGTGTGCAATTGTACTGAAAATAGCTTCATATAAATGTTATTAAAATGTAATGATTTTTTTTTACATCGCTGAACTCGGTAAGACATCTCTAAAAAAACTATTTAGGACTGAGACTCAAAACAAAAATTAATTTTCTCGCAGGCATATTTTGAAATGACCCCAAAAGTGCTTGCAACAAACTAAATGTATGAGAGGAGGAGTTTTCGACGTGGAAGTGAACACACTTTATTAATGAAGTGCCACTCTTCTGCTTACGAGACAATGACTGTACTAAGACATACTCCTGACTATTTTTCTCATTTTTTTTGGGGGGGGGAAGTTGGGGGGAGGGCTATTTGGTTAGGAAAAACTGCATTTTGTGGCCAAACGGTGAAGGATGGAACCAAACATACGAAATTTTAAGCACAAGCGTCCTAGTTTTATGAGTTACTCTCTAGGCAGCCATGTCAAAGAGTTAAAACAATCGTTTCCTTTTGTGGCCATTTCTATTCGACAGAGTCCCTTTAGCGCCTAAACAGTGACAGGTAGAGCCGAGCCGACCGGACGAAATTTTAGCCCACGGGGTTCTACTTTCGTTATTTACTTTTCAGAAGGATATTTCGAAGACCCAAATCAAAAATTTCGTTTTAGGGCCCTTTCTATTGGAGAAACGCTCTTTAGCGCCTGAACGGTGAGAGATAGAGTCAAACGGGCGAAATTGTAGTTCAGTAGACTCTACTGTTGCGAGTTTACCCCTTAGACCACATTCAAATAGAAATCACTCCTTTAAACAAGCAAATATTACTTACCTCGTGTATTGAACTGCTCCTCTAGAAGACTGACCATGTACCTCTTTTGGCGGGCAAACTCATGCGTATGGCCATGCAATAAAAGCGATAAGCAAAGAATCAGAGAAAGAGCAAGAAAAAAGCGACAGGAGGAGAGCGTATGAAAGTACGCTTGGGTGCGCCGTGAAAGTTCGTCCGACTTCGTTTTCCGTGCGCCTTGAAATTGACAAAAACGGCTAAAAGTCGAAGGCCGCTTATAAGCGCGATTTCTCGCAAACCTTGGTGGAACCAATCGAGCCCTTCGTCTCCAAGGTACCCGGCGGGTAGTAGAACAATCCCCTGGAAGCCCAGGATTTGTACCACCAGGGTTCAGCTGAGACGGCGCCTTGAAATTGACAAAAACGGCTGAAAGTCAAATTCCGCTTATAAGCGCGATTTCTCGCAAACCTTGGTGGTACAAATCGTGCCCTTCGGCTCCAAGGTACCCGGCGGGTAGTAGAACAGCCCCCTGGAAGCCCAGGATTTGTACCACTAGGGTTCAGGTGAAACGGCGCCTTGAAATTGACAAAAACGCATAAAAGTCAAAGGCCGCTTAAAAGCGCGATTTCTCGCAAACCTTGGTGGTACAAATCGAGCACTTCGGCTCCAAGGTACCCAGCGGGTAGTAGAACAATCCCATGAAAGCCCAGGATTTGTACCACCAGGGTTCAGGTGAGACGGCGCCTTGAAATTGACAAAAACGGCAAGTCAAATTCCGCTTATAAGCGCGATTTCTCGCAAACCTTGGTGGTACAAATCGTGCCCTTCGGCTCCAAGGTACCCGGCGGGTAGTACAACAGGCCCCTGGAAGCCCAGGATTTGTACCACCAGGGTTCAGGTAAAACGGCGCCTTGAAATTGACAAAAACGGCTAAAAGTCAAATTCCGCTTATAAGCGCGATTTCTCGCAAACCTTGGTGGTACAAATCGTGCCCTTCGGCTCCAAGGTACCTGGCGGGTAGTAGAACAGCCCCCTGGAAGCCCAGGATTTGTACCACCAGGGTTTAGGTGAGACGGCGCAGTGAAATTGACAAAAACGGCTAAAAGTCGAAGGCCGCTTATAAGCGCGAT